GAACCCCGAAAAAGTTTCAATTAAAAATGGAAGTTCAGAATTTTCTTCGAATTTTAAAGCCATGCGGCCGCTTGTTATTAAACCGTGCGACCGCATGGTTCAAGTGATCTGCTTCAATAAAATCCCTGCATCCTCATGTGCGGCCGCATGGTTGTAACTTTACAACCTTGCTGTTTTGGTCCCTGAACTCCGTTTTCTCTTTTCTTGATCTCTTTTCTTTCCTTCCTTTGTTCCATTACCAAATATTGACTCCTAATTGATGTTTGGGTCAATCAATTCCTTGATCACTTGCTCGGATAATCTTTTGATTAATTGCAATTTAGTCCTTCATCTTTCACTTTTCTTCAATTCAGTCTAATGTTATTTCTTTTTTCCTCCGATCGTCTTGTATCATCCTCAATCTCATACTTGGCATATTTTCATTCTCGTTCTGCACTTTAGCTCAACTTTCCAATATTTGCACCTTTGGTCCCCGAACTATCGCTTTGTTTCGTTTTGGTTCTTTTTCGGCTCTTTTTTTCTGATTTTCATCTTTTCCATGGAAACACCTACATTGCATGAATTTAACGAGATTAAGTCATAATTCAACTACTTTATCCATGTTTAAGTCATGTTTGTGAGCTAAATAAGTGTATAAAAACACACTTATCAGGAAGATTGTTGAGATTATCCCACATCGATTGTGGATGGGGTTGATATTCAGTTTATATGTATGAGAGAAAGCCCCACCTCTTGAGCTAGCTTTTAGGGTGAGAGAGACCCGATACCACCCAACATTAAGGATATTGTGCGAAAAGATGGGAAAGGGAAATATATCTTGAATCTTGGACGTGGCATTGTGGTTGGTACACCAGGAGAAAATGTTGCTCATTTTTTTGAGGTTGCCAAATGGCTTAGGTACTAGAAGCTGATTAGAGGTTAGTCGATTTTGATCGATTTCTTTGTAGCATTAATCCATTTATTCTTCAGTCCTATTGTTTCTTTTGTACTTGATAATGATTGGAGATGAAATTTTAAATAGTATCCATTCATTACCATTAGTTGTGAAATTGATAGTATTTCCAACTAGAGTCGAAATCTAGTTGTTTCGCACAATTCCATCTCAACTACAAATCCTTTGAAGTGACAAGGGGCTCTACTTACTGTGCCGAACCAATGGTAGATGACCTTAAAACAATTCTCTTTGTTACACAAGAATGTAAGACTTAATCCTATCTAGGGACGGCAAACAAGTCAAGCAGCTCGTCGGCTCAGCCGTTCAACTCGCAAAAAGGGGGCTCGTGGGCTGCTTGAGCTCGTAAAATCACGAGCCCAAGTCCGAGCGGATAGGCCCATCCGGCTAGTGGCTCATTTTTCAACAATGACCGAAACAGTCACTTTTTTAAAAAGTGAGCATTTCGGTCACTTTTCATAGTCCAGTGGAATGGTCACTAAACTATGAATAGTGATGAAATGGTCACTGATTTTTTCTTCTCTTCCTCTCTATAAATATCCTTGAATACAAATAATTTTTTTCCACACAATTTGACAACAACTCTCTTTCTCATCTCGTGTGCTCAATTATCAACTATTATATAATATATATTCATTTTTATAATTTTATCATCTTCAATTTCAATTCATTCAATTCTTATTTCCCACACTACAAATTCACAATTTTAATTTGCACTCTTTGCTTAAGTCTTAGTGCTTACGTCTTACTATGTCATCTATTTATTCTTAATTTCATCACAATTCACTAATAGATCCACACTCATTTGTCGAGGGCTTGTTCGGTGTCGGAAGCAAATCACCTGTAACGTCGCAAAGTCAATATTAGAATCAAATTTCGATCTAAATGAAATATCCATTCTTGAAGATATTCCAAATTTGGGTGTGCAGGGAAGCAATACTTCAATTGATTTGGATGACATTGATATTTCCAAAGCGGAACAAAAGGAGGAATTCAAATTAGACATCCTCGATACTAGAGGAAAGATAAAGGAAAAAAAAGGCAAAATGTTGGGATCACTTCAAATTGATTTCAACGGGTCGTGTTATGGATAGAATCTCAGAGTCCAAAGTAAATATCAATATTACCAACAACGATTAGTATGGCAAAAAGGCATTGGTGTCACCCACCTCAATTGTCACTACAAAGCGTGTGCGGTCAAATATGGACTTTCTGAAGCCAGTCAAATACAATTGTAATTTGGTAATCCAGGCGTCGGTTCTTCGACTTCGCTCGTCACCACGTGGATGTATTTGGAAGAGAATGCTCAAATGGGAATGGTGAAACTTGTTGCTGATACTAAGTTGCCTCTAATAACAGCGGACAACCAACATTTCGTCTCATACATAAAAGAATATCTTCAACCGAGTTACGTTGAGATAAGTCAAAACGCTCTTCATTTAGATACAATAGAATATTTCTTTTAAACAAAGCAACAATTGATTATGGATTTGCAAAAATATAAGCGAATTATATCTTGAACTTCAGATATATGGGAGTGGATTAATAAAAGAGTTTATATAGCTACAATTGCGCACAACATAGACCCATTTTAGTATATGCATAAAAATATTATTACTTTTAAATTGTTGAATTCCTTCATAACACTAACAATATATATATAATGCGATTATAACCATTATTTGAGAATATCGTTGCGAAAGTAAAATTTATTCTTTTATATTCGACAATGTTAGTGTTAATAAAATAGTTATCGATAAATTGTGTAAGATATTGTAACTTGATTTTGGTGGTTATTTGTTTTCACATTTGTTGTATGTGCCATATTTTAATTTAATTGTGTAAGATGGTTTGAAACATATTAAAAATGAAATACAAAGAATTATGAATGTACTAATATATATAACGATCTCCCCTAGTAGAAAACAAGTATTTGAGGAATTTTGCATTGAATTTGAGGTGACGAATGCTAAAATATTTGTTAGCGACGTAGTTCATAGATGAAACTCTATTTACTTATTATTAAAGCCATGTGAAGGTTTTGAACATTTGATAACTGAGTTTTATAACAATAGGCATATTAGAAACAATAACGACACTATTTTGTATGAATCCAATTGGCTTTTAGCTATAAAAGTTTTAAAAAAATTGACAAATTTTTATGATAATACAAATATTTTGTTTAGAGTTTACTATTCCACTAGTTGTATAGTGCTCGAACGTCTTTATATAATTGCAAGGACATTTCATAAACACAAAAATGGCCCCGATTTTAGTGCAATTATGTACTCTATCGAATTAAAGTTTAAAAAATATTAGGAAGATTTACCCATATTATTTTATTTAGCATGCATCATGAAACACCGATATAATTTATCAAACTAAATATGTAATTGATCAAATTTCAAAAGTTTTAATTTTTAATACACTTATAACATATAGAAATTTAGAATAAGTTTTATGTGAAATGTATGAATTATATGCAGAACGAATGGGTATATTAATCGAGCACCCTCTGTGCCTACTCCTTCCGCTAATATTGAAGAATATGACGCTGAAATATTAAATATTTGAAGGCATTAACACGTATAGATATGATGCAAATGCAATAAGTTCATCTAGTAATACTTTGTCTTCTGCATGTAATCAAACATCAGAGACAAGTTCAAATACATTGTCTGCTGAATTAATTGATTAGTTTAATTATAATATGCCTACCAACAAAATAATTAAAAAAAGCTCTAAAGAGATTATTGAATTCTGACGAAGGTACACTTATAACATCCTCAAACACACCTTCAGACAAACATAATGTTGGAGTTTTTTTTTTTTTTTTTTTGAGAATGTGGGGTTGAAAAAGAAAGAAAATTTTTCGATTTATGTGTAATATTATTTTATGAAAGATTTTGTGGTTGAAAATAAGAGAGAAAAAAATTGAAAGAGAACGGGGGCTTACTACAACCACTATGACAAGCAAAAATATATTGTACAATTATTCCACCGCTAGGGGTAATATTCAAAGAAATCAACTAAGTTCACAAAAAACCATAAAGACAAGTGCTGCTTACCATTTTTGCAGATGGCCGGACCGTAAATGGAGTAGGTAACCTCGTCTCGGGCTCCACTCCAACGTAAGAGTCAGTAATGAAAATGTGTATCAAAATAAGAAAGCCAAATGATAAATCGAATATTTCATTTTGGAGAAAGGTTCTATTTATAACTTTTTCTTTTGGCTTACATGTCCGCGATATAGATTCGATTATGTACAAACGAGACACTTGTCAATTTAGTTTTTTGAAAATATGAAGGGAATCCGTACAAATACGATTATGTACGGATATGACACCTGTTTATTTTATTTCCCAAAAACATGGACGGAATATAAGATACGAATACATCTTTATTCGAGTAACCATGCAATTCCGTGATTGCAGGAATTTAGCCCTACTTTTCATTATCACGACTGTATATCTACGAAGAGGTTCCTTCATTTTATCAAGTGTGAATTATTAGCCAACCCGCAATTCAATCAAAAATGTTAATTAAAACAAGCGAATTCAGCCCACGATCAAGGAAATGACTATCACTCCCGTTATTATTGAGGTCACGTGGATCATTCATTGATCCGATTAGATGAAGATGTCTTGGTCTTGAAGGTGATCGTTAGCAAAATCATTAATCAACTTTGATTGTTACTTCGACAGAGCTGTATCTTCGTAATGATCTGTGCTAAAAACTTATCGCCCAATCAAAGGGTAATTTTTCTTTTTTGCTTATCAAATTTCCTCTAAAATAATTGTAGGAATTAATGAATACAACTCGAGGATACCACCTACTATTCTGTCTTTGCTATGGAATCTTGTTTTCCATATGAACTAGCCTGTCACGTGTCAGTTACCAATTAGTTAACTGCAATATAAGCCACCTACAATTTGGCTACACAGAAACTGATGCACACAAATTTGAACATGCGGCGCAAACCTACGGCTTCGACACACTCTATGAACAGTTCACATGATAAAATCTGTGCATTTTACACACACAAACCATTACGAAAAGTGTACTCTCTCTTCTCTTCAAGACTACGGAGTTTCCGAAGCTACTCTCTTAACCCAAGGTATTCATTTCTTTTTTCTATAACCCAATTTTTTGTTTTTGAGCTTCTGAATTCTTGTTCTGGTATCTAATTTATTACATTCAAACGTATGTATTTAAATTGATGTAATTATATATATTTTTTTCTCGAAGGTCATAACTTTACGTGTGTGTGTGTGTGTATAGACAAACATGAATCAATGAGTTGTCTGTTTTCTGGTGAATCAATGAGAGCAAAAAAGTTGTTTGTGAATTCCATTTTAATTAATTTTGAGGATGGATTCTTGTTTGATTCTACATTTATTACATTCTCTTTTATGGGTATGGAAAGAAGTGCCTTTTTGTTTCTTTTCCTGTCGTGCTTCTTGACAGACCTTCAAAATTGAAATTCTATGTGCGCCTGCCGGAACTCTCTCTTTCTTTTCCAATGTGTCTCTCTTCTAAATTTGGATTCGTATTTGAATATTTACGTTTAAGGATTTTTATAAAATCTCTGTTTTGCTTGAAGAAATATTTCTGTAAATCTCTTAAATAGCTTCCAATGAAATAAAATGCGCGTGAGTGTAATCGATATAGAAATTAGATGTGGAGAACCGAATAAAATGGATTAGTAAATCAGCTTAAAGATCTAAGCTTCCTTAGATGAATCCAACATGTTAAAGCATGCATTCAATGTATGATTGAGAAGTATCACCCAACAATCAACAATCTGACGGGCTGGACTAACTATTCGGCTGTTTTCTGTTGCAGATTCTCCTCGAGCATTGTTGATGTAGTTGTTCGCGGGAATGTGGAAAGATGTGGCTGAATGCCGAGACCTTCGTCTCTAAGGTCTGCCCTCCATCAAGGTCAGTCTTTTTCGTAAGAAATAATGTCCAGTCTACGATCATAATAAGATCAAGTTTTGCAACCAGATGCATAATGAAGCCATGATCCATCAACTTCGTGTTTTGTTGAAGTATGACCGTGCAATTTAGTTCTTTTTTCTAGGAATCCTGCCCTGTAAATAAGAGATTGTAGTAGGTTCGTGTTTTTTGAAATGGAGAAGAAGGGAAGCGTATTGATGGGAAAATACGAGCTTGGGAGGTTGCTAGGTCAAGGAACTTTCGCCAAAGTTTACTATGGTATACTTCTTAAAACAGGACAGAGTGTGGCCATAAAGGTTATTGATAAAGACAAAGTGTTGAAGGCCGGGTTGACAAATCAGACAAAGCGAGAGATATCTGTTATGGGAATGGTCAAACACAACAACGTGATGGAGCTATACGAAGTTATGGCTACCAAAACTAAGATTTATTTTGTGATGGAATATGCGAAAGGTGGAGAGCTTTTCCACAAGGTTGCGAAAGGAAGGCTCAAGGAAGATAGTGCTCGGAAATATTTTCAACAACTGATTTCTGCTGTTGGTATTTGCCACAGCAGAGGTGTTTATCACCGTGATTTGAAACCCGAAAATCTTCTGCTGGATGAGAATGGAGATCTTAAGGTATCCGATTTTGGATTGTGTGCGCTCACCGAGTCCAAGCGCCAGGATGGATTACTCCACACCGCGTGCGGCACCCCAGCATATATCGCTCCCGAGGTGATTCGCCAAAGAGGCTATGATGGATCCAGAGCTGACATCTGGTCCTGTGGGGTGATCTTATTTGCCATGCTTGCAGGTTATCTTCCATTCAAAGACTCAAATCTCATGGAGATGTATCGGAAGATAAGCAGGGCTGAGTATAAATTCCCAAATTGGTTTCCACCTGAAGTACGAAAGCTGCTATCACAGATCCTTGATCCTAACCCCTATACTAGGATTTCCATAGACGAGATTATGCAAAACTCGTGGTTCAAAAAAGGTCTCAATTCCAGACAAGCTATGACTAAAGCAGAAGACACAGAAAATGTCCCTCTCGACTTTGATTCCATTTCTGTTTCTTCCTGGAATGATATTCCGACGGATACGAAGCTGGAAGTGGACAAACCAGCTAACCTGAATGCATTTGACATTATATCTCACTCAACTGGATTTGATTTGTCTGGTTTGTTTGTGAGCAATGACCAAAAAGATGAGGTGCAATTTACATCTACAAAGCCGGTTTCTGCTATCATATCAAAACTTGAGGATGTTGCTGGGAATCTGAAGTTCAGAGTGAAGAAAAAGGATCAAGGGTTGATGAGATTGGAGGGCTTCAAGGGTATGAACGGTATTTTGTCCATTGATGTAGAAATATTTGAAATCACTTCGTCGTTTCATTTGATCGAGATGAAGAAGTCGAGTGGCGACTCAGTAGATTATCAGATGATGTTGAAACAGGATGTAAGACCAGCTCTTAGGGAAATTGTTTGGACTTGGCAAGGTGAGCTACAGCAGGGTCAGAAGGAAGGCTAGTGACTGAATTCTTAGTTCATTTCTCAGGCTATTAAGACTCTTGTTTTGGTATTTTAGTGTTTCTATAGCTCTGGTAATCCATACCAATGTTACAGTACTATTTATTTGTGTGTAAAACAGTAATATGGGGGTATGAATGCACATAAACTGGTTTCTAGAAAATGTGCCTGTAAAGTGTTTTCTGCTGTAAACCGTTCTGCCTATTTCTAGCCATGCTAGTCTAGGCCGTAGAGGTCCATGACCAATATGTTAAGATCTGGGTTCAATATTAAAATATCAACATTGTTAAGAGGAATAGCTCAAACATTTATAAGTTGATCTATGTTTTCATCTTTATTCGATGTCCCCTCAAGATGGTGGCTCGTTTGAGCAAACCAATCTTGAACTCGGCTGGCTTATTTTTGAGTCTTAATTGGATCGAATTGCTCGTTGAAGTTTAATGAGCTCCAATACCATATTAAGACTTGTTATTCCATCTTAAAAGGTCGATCTTATTAAAAGTAGTAATCCAAATCTTTATCAGTCAATCTGTGTTTTCATCTTTATTAGGTGTGAGATTTATCCCTTTAACCCAATGCCAGATGAAAACGCGTCTGTCCGATCAATACCTCTACACGAAAACTTCTTATAATGTCAAAAATTCCGTGATAACAATAGTCAATAGATTCAGAAATTTCTTAAAAAGATGGAGAAATGGATTTCAATATATAATTCTGTTAATTAGTAGAAATTTCTTAAAATGTGGCGCTCCTGATGATTTTGAAAATAGGTGGAATTCTCCTCCATTTTCCTTCTATGAGTTAATTAGCATTTAGAGAATAATTCAGAACAGTGTCAAAGTGGACTAATTGATAAGAAGGAACTTAAGATTTTGATAGATTTCGGAAAGACTAAGAAAATTTCAACAAGACGGTACAGTTTTTTCTGTCACACAATGAGAGCACAAAACTCATAAAAGTGCAACATATCCAAAGTTGGAGTCCCATAGAAAAAGTTTGAGGCAGAAAATATTTTTCTAAGATACTGAGGCTGTATTTCTGGTTACCGTTTCATAAATTCTAAGAGCCCCTCAATCGACATAATTTCAACTTTATATGATAGATAACTCTTAAAGTGCCTTTTTCAATTAAAATCATCCTGAAATTCGTATACAAACTAAAGTAAATTTTTAAAGTAAAGATAGAATGCTATAATGAATAACGTATACTTTGTAAAATATAAAGGAATTCAAAAGAGTGTTTCATTCTTCTAAAAGCTAAAAGAACACGTGTGCAAGTAAAATATATTAATGAAAATCCTAACGTTACTGATATTTAAAATACTTTTTGTTGATCCCAAAAAATGTGCCAACGGAATCTCAACATTATCCCCTCCATGTAGCATCACCTGTACATTGAACACCTCGTTACTGGACGAAAGAAAAATGAGTGCAAGCGACGGGAGAGAAATTTGGTCAGGGTTAGAGTATGAGCCTGCTCTACTTCGTACTCTGTTCGTTCTTTCGAGGGGTAAAGAAGTGACCAAGGTTTTTATTCGTTAGCCAAGCACGCCCATTATAGCGCCTCTATTATAGAAGCGAAAGCGATGCGCCTTGCTTTTCTGTCCAAGGCTCTTTTGGAGCAGAATGAATTCTGCTTTGAAGGTTACCTTTGATTATGAATGAAGCTCACATGTAACGCCTCAAATTCTCGGAACCCGAAGCATTATAAAATCAATCTTTCTTTGGTTAAACTTCTTTGATGTTAACCAAAATAAATTGCAAATGAGAAAAAATTTGGAGTTTGAAATATAAAAAAAAATATAATAAGTGATATTTGTCCACATAGACTTAGACAACTACGATGAAATTTGATTTTGGAAAAGATTGTGGGAAAAAATCAACAAGTACCAGTTGTGTAGCAGCGGATTGAACAATATGTTTGGCCGAGCAGACGTCAACTAAAAATTCTAAAATTTTAACAGGGACTTACATTCAAATACGTACAACATATAAAAAAAATTGGGGTCTCGATGATAATGTTTGAAGCACGAAACTATTGTTTGACTATGCTGGACAAAAAATTCATATATGATTGATGCAGTCTACCAAAAAAACATAACTTTTTCTCTAGATAATAGTTTAAGAAAATTCCAAAGGCCAATGTTAGAAGACTCATAAAACCTGACAAACTCAACTGATTTCACTCTAAAACATGCACGTGACCCAAGTTATATAATTTTCAAATAGAAGGACGCAATGTGAAATTCAATCCAACAACAAATAAACTTTATGCACAATCATTCCAACATTTCCAAATTATGGCTAACATGAAATATATATAAAACTAGACGGATCAGATATGTAAACATTTTTAAAAGCGTTATCTAAGTATTCATGATAGATTTACACAAACTGAAAATTTTACTAAAAAGTTAAAAGCTGTTTAAATCACCCAGAACTCGCTACTATGCCAAACCACTGTCATGCCTCAAATCAACCTATAAAATTTTAGTAGTGATGAGTACCACAAGTAATACTCAGTAGGAAAACTTTAGTAAATACTAAAAATATATATTTTCAGAAATGCAAACTTTGGTCATTTGTGTCACCGTCAATCTCTTTCTCTTATTCGAACCACTCAAACGGTGCTTCCTTTATAAGTAACACAATAACACAACGGTAATGCTAGTGGTACATAGAGGTGTACCTAAGCGTGTACACCCCCCTCACATGGGGTGTGGGATCCACCCGAATAATAAACACTTATTTGGGTGGACCCCACACCCCATGTGAGGGGACTGTACACCCTTAGATATACCCCATTATGTAGTACTAAATTAATTCATAACCCATATACAACTTTGGTCATTAGTGTCACCTTCAATCTCTTTCTTTTATTTGAACCATATATATATATATATATATATATATATACATGACACACCATTTAATTGGTGAATCGTTAAATACATGAGATCTACCATTAACTTATTCACCAATTAAATGGTTTGTCATGTACCGGTGCTTAGCTTATAGGAGATCATTTTCTTATATATATATAATAATTAACATAATGGGCATTAAGTGATTTGAAAGGTTATGACATTTAGTGGATGATTTAAATGACAAGTCCAGTGGAGGAAATGAAAAGCCAGGTTGAGGGATACTGAAATAAAAAAAATAAAAAATTGGAGATGCATTAATGGAGGAAAATCGTAAGTGAGAAAAATGTAATGGAATGAAATTGGGATTGTTTGGTACAATATTATCGATTTATCTATTTTATTTTTTCAATTAAGCACTTAACATATAAGTAACAATTAATATAAAACGTGTCGTCACAAATAACATTACAAAGTCAAAAAAAAAAAAAAAACATTGTTTAAGAGAAATTCGATACCTTACAAAAGATTTTAAAAAATAAGTGCGCAAAACTTTACCGTTGTAACCAAAACTTTAATTTGAACTCTTAAGAAAGGTCGTGACGACGTAATAAGTATAACTAGAACTATTTTCGAGTCCTACAAGAAATTTTTTTATTTTAAACGCCACAAGATAGTTTTTTTTTGTCGGTTGCTACATCACACACACACACACACACACACACACACACACACACACACACACACACACACATATATATATAGGAAGTTTTTTTTTGTCGGTCACAACATCACATATATATAGGAAAATGTGAATGGGCCAAACGTGCACGATGGGATGAGCTCCAAGCCCAATATTATGTTACTTGATTAAATAGGCCAATCAAATCCCAAGATGCTATTATTTTATTAAATAGGATAAATCAATTGAAAATTCAATGCCAAGTAATTTATAGGTGTAACACTAATCCCCCAAGTCTGAGTTGTATATTTATATGCGATCGGACTTGAAATATAAACTATCAAGTATGTGAGGTCTTACAGGTTGCCTTAGAAATATGAGCAGCTCCAATAAATGAGGGCTTATGAACTGCCTCGAAAATTTGAATCGATCCTAAATAGGTGAGGACTTACGAACTGCATCAAAAAATATGTGCGAGCCTAAGAACTTACAAATTGCCTCAAAAGATAGATTTTGCATGTAATTTTCAAAATTTCGATAGCATCTCCTCTGTAATATATACTGAACCATTATATCCACCGCACGTATATGAAATAATTAATTGGGGTCCATTTTCCTCTCAAAATACTCATGATGGTAAAGTGATAATGACATATCACTCCAAATTATAATACGCAGAGAGCCTATCATATATCATAACAAATTATATACTTGTACAACTCAGTGTAACAATAGTGCTATAGTGAAGTAACATGTAGATAATGTGACATGCATATTAGCACTAGTAAAAATAGTGTTATGACATACTAGCAATGATGTGGCATACATACTTGGTAGCAATAATATAATGCATATGCTAATAGTAATAATGAAATGATACTAAGACACTAGTATCACAATAATAGTTCCCCAAGTCTGAGTCGAATATTTATATGTGAATCGAGCTTGAAATATAAGTCACTATGATGAAGTTCAAATAGAGACGAGACTGAATATATAAGCAGCTATGATAATGCGATGCTCTGAATGTAAGTAACAGAGGCGATGCTTTAGACATAAGTAGCAAGGGCAATGCTCTAGATATAAGTTTCAGAGACGATGCTCTGGACATAATTAGTAGAGGCGACGCTCTGGACATAAGTAGCAGAGGTGGTGTTCTGGATGTATAGGTTACAGAGGCAGTGCTCTAGACATAAGTAGCAAAGGCGATGCTCTAGATATAAAAGTAATAGAGGCAATGCTCTGGACACAAGTTGCAGAAGCTATGCTTGGATGTATAAGTAATAGAGGTGATGCTCTAAAAGTATAAGTAGTAGAGGCGATGCAATGGACATAAGTCGTAGAGGCGACGCTCCAGATATATGTAGCAAAGGCAATGTTCTGAATGTATAAGTAGTTATGATAAGTTGACATCCTCATATGGAGGTGACATATCCATGTCAAGCGCTTCCTTTATGGTGTTTGATCTAGCCATAGAAAGGGTTAATCTCTGAGGTAGCAAGGTGTGGCTCTTTGTGGGAGACATCACACTTGTTCTTGTCGATGCTGTTTTACTTCCTTGTAAAGGGTGGCTCTTCTGTACAAAGGCTTCCTCCATGATGTTTAATCTAGCCATGGAAGTCTTCGTCTTCATAGGTATTAAGGTAGGCTCATCCATTTCTTTACAAATCTATATTTAATATAAGCTCTCTGAAGATAAGTAG